ACATCCTGCATGTAAGTCTGGATAGCTCATCAGAGGAGGAGGAGTTGCAGCTTTCCATCATCTGTAACAGAATGCGTTTCTGAGCCCTTTGTCACTACCTAGCAAGGTGTACACAGGTTATTTTCTAATTATGCCTTTTTCGTGTTCATTGAGAGTTTATTGTGAGTTTTCTCATCTCTTGTTACCAATATTGTACTTGTGGTTTTTTGCCCAAAATATTATCGAGCTGTCATTATATAGAGCTATTCATAGAAGCTCCAAGATCTCTTTCCAGAATAGATCTAAAAGACTGATTTGATTTTTGAATAGTTATTTCCCCGTGCACCTTACAATTAAATATCATCTGATATATTATTGTTTACTCGGTCAATATAATGAAACACTTCTATATTTCACTGTCAATTTCTTGTTTTTAGTACTTTCTTGTCAACAGCCTTTTTCATGTCACTGTTGATGCACTCCTCCAGATGACTAAGTATGTCAGGTAGCACATGTTCTAGCACAGATTCTTGGGGAACTTCCCTAGGACAACTCTTCATTGTGACAAAGATGACTATTTATTCATGTCTTTTATTACTTACTAATTAACCCACTATTAATCTGTGAGTCAATGACCTCTTTTATTCCATGGCATGTAAGAGTGTATATTATGCAAAGAAGCTCATGAAGTTTTCAAATAAAAATAGTACATTATATGAAATGCATCCCCCTTTAAAGTCTGTTTCATTAGTATAGTATACATTCACTCTGAATCTATAATATAGTATCTTTAAACAATCTTCTGTCTCTTTGAAAACATTTTTTCCTTTTGGCCACGAGTTTTAATTAATATTTATAACTTGATCATTTTAACGTAATTCCCTCTTTGAAAAAAGCCCTACCAGAAAGATTTTTTTACAGCCTTTTGAATTCCTGTAAAGATATTGAACTTGCATACACGGTGGTAGCTGTTGGCCACCAATACAGAGTAGTTGCTCAGTAAAGACATTTTGAATCAGAGCCTACACACTGCTCAGGGCCAGTTCAAATGGTGCTTTGTCCCTTTGGGATTCTTTGACTCTCTGTTCCAAGAAACAGTCAGAAATCTGTTGAATATAGCTTTGGGTCACAATCTGGTGGGGCAATTGAAATTCCTGGATTTTTTGAGTTTTCTGCTTTTGCAGTCTCTCAAATATTATAAATAGAGTTTAGTCATTCCAGGTACTCTCACCATTTTGCATGGCTTTAATCCAGTATTTTTCCTGTGTAGGCATGAATTTACTTGTGATGCAATTAATTCCCAGCTTGCTGTAACAAGTACCACTACTTCTTCATCTATAGTACTCCTTTGTCATTGCAACATTAGGTTGTACTCAGGAATGATGGTAAAAAAAGGAAAGTCCTTAAAAGTGTGCCAGATCAAAGCTGCTGTAATTTTTGGTGTAGGTTAGATAAATAAGAACTGATCCTCAATTTAGCACTAGATAACTAGTTACATTTTGTTCCTGTGTTTTGTTTTTTTTTTCTGAGGCAAGCTGCCAAATCTTTTGAGGCTTAATGTTCTAATGTCATAACATTCAAGCTGCTTGATTCCTAGGTGAAGTATTGCAAATAGCCTGATTTTAATTATTTGTCTTTTGTGGTTTTGTTTTGAAAAAACAGTATGAGAATGATAATAACATGCCTCTGTGGCTGCATATACTGGAAATATACAACCTGTAATTCTCCCCTCTCCCATTTTTCAGACACAAAAGGAGCAGGGGCCAGTGTACCCTGTCCATATGGTTATAGAATTTGGAGAGCTGATTATGGCTGCATACAAAATGTCAGTGACTTAATTTGACATCCATTATAAATCTAAAGCAAAAAAGTCTAACAAACTTTTGCTTGATATGGATGATTTGTGTGCAAATTCTTTGCAGATAATGCCTGAAGTTTGATGTGGATGAATAATGCAGATGAGCATTTCATGCATGCAAAGTTTTTGTTTCTCTTGCTGCTTTATACTGAATCTGATTAGGTTAGAGTCAAAACCTAAGCAACTCCTGCTTTGGCCAGGAATATTTAAATTGCCTTATCCAGAATATCTATTTGCATGTATCAGACAACTGAAAAAAACAAAGTTGGAATTTTTTATAAGTTCTCAATGTTGGATAAGCTTGGCTCAGTACCAGAGTCAATGAAAAAACCTCAATTGTTTTCAATAACGGTGCACTAACCATTACCATGTTGAAAAACAAACCTCAGAAGCATTTTCCTCATGGGAAAATTGTGAAATACACTTGTGCATAAGTGCCAAATGCAGACTTAGTGTTTCTAGGGTCACTGTTTGTTATTTAAAGGAAACCTCTTGTTTACATGACAGCTGAACTTCGTACAAGTCTCTTAACAAATATGGCTGCATTCAGTTAAGTGGCCAGGTTGCTGAGAAGCGATATTATTAATTTATGACACTAGCTATGTGAAAGCTTTGTAAAAAAGAATGTTTTAAACAAATGAACACAAGTGTTGAATAATAATTTATTAAAAATTATTTCAATGATCAAGAGAATTCTGCTATTAATCTGAATCATTATATTTAAATAGGATTTGTGTATGTTCTCTTCATTGAATAACTTAAAAACAGTTAGACTGAGTATATGGAGGAGATGTTTTTAAATTCACAGAATCACAGAATCACAGAACGTTAGGGATTGGAAGGGACCTCAAAAGATCATCTAGTCCAATCCCCCTGCCGGAGCAGGAACGCCTAGATGAGGTTGCACAGGAAGGCGTCCAGGCGGGTTTTGAATGTCTCCAGAGAAGGAGACTCCACAACCTCTCTGGGCAGCCTGTTCCAGTGCTCTGTTACCCTCACTGAGAAGAAGTTTCTTCTCAAATTTAAGTGGAAATTAAATTGCCAGACTCTGTAACTTTTGGTATGGATTTAAGAGAAGATGGAGGAAGGAGAGAGCAGCCCTTCCAATCCCTCTGCTCTGCCCAGACCATCATCACTCAGACCATTCCTGTTAGCTACTTGTCTAAAAACCTGCAAGGCTGGAGATTGCACAGCCTCTGTAGGGCTGTCTGTGCCTCTGTTTACATATCCATACTGTGGGGATGGGTTTCCCTAGCTGTGGCAGTGATGTTTCAGCTGTTCAGGGCCATGTGAGCAGCCACACTGAATTAGGTCCATGATCCAAGTTATCTTCTGCCCTGTTGCAACAGTGCCTGACTCCAGATGCTTCAGAAGATTATGAGGTATAAGATGTGGAGATCTGAGATGATTTGCCTGTTCTGAATTATTTTATACATAAATAAGGGCACGATCGACCCTAATGCATGAAATGTCATCTCCCAAAATCTGTTAGCATTGCAAATTGAATATTCTTGCTAGCTTTATATAATTTTGGCCATGCAATTTTTTTCCTTCTTAACATTCAGTAGCAGTGAGTGTCATAGTTTATCTGTGCATTGTATGAAAAGTTATTTCCTTTTATCAGGCTTAAATTTGTTGTCTTTCCATTTCATTCACTGTCCCCTGTATTGTGTGTTAGGCAATATGGCAAAGAAAACCTCTCAACATATCTTCTCTGGAGTATTCATTATTTTTTTGCTGTTTCCCTTGCTGATGTTCTTTTAGAGATGAACAATCCATTTCTTTTCAGTACTTCTTAGATGACATTTTCCTTATTCTTCCCATAAGCCATCATAATTTTGCAATACTTTTTTCTTGAGATGATGCCACTGTTATTGTACACAGTATTTGAAGGAAACCCACAATGCTGCTTATTTATACAATGAAATTCTATTAATTTCCCTGCTGTTTTTCATTGCAATTCATATTCATGTTAGCAACTTGTTTACTTTTTTTTTTAACTGCAGCCACACTTGGAATTGAAATGATAATTGAGTTATTTTGCTTTAAACTGAATGTGCTTGAGGTGAATTGAAGGTTTTATTTCCATCATTAAACCCAAAGCTGAGTGTTTTATTAAGATTGTATTCTGGTGGTGAAAGATATATGCATGACTATATTGCTTATTTTGTCTTGTACTGCTCTGCTGGACAGTTAAGTATCACAATGCTACTTTTTAATGAACGCTAATTAAGAGCTTGCGCCAGACTGTTGTGAGATGGTATTTAGAGTTGAACTCAGTGTATCGATATTTACAGTCACCGTAGATCTAGTCTTTACTCTTCTAGTGTTTTCCACATTTTACCACATATAGCTTCATGCCCTTTCAAAACCTTTTTCCCAGAGAATTTTTCTCCATATAGACAGCTGAAAAAGCTAAATAAAGACTATTCAAGTAGAAAGCAGTGTGTGCTGCTAGTTTGCCCTTGCAAAATAATTGTGTACACCATGATGAAGTAGGCCTTTAAAGGTACTGTTGAATTCTTTGAGATATGCTTGTTTTGAAGTCATTTACCTTTATTCACTGGAGACATTAATTTTTTTTTTTATTTTCTGTGCCAGACACAAGGGCTATAGATGTCACTGCAGCTTGAATAATTAAAATATTCTAGCTTGCACACCCTGGTAACTGATGCAACTTAAAGCATAGTGTGCTTGCTTAAATGAGCTTACAGGTCAGATGTCACCTTTTACATTAACTTCTCAGCAAGTGAACTCAAATTTGCTAGACTGAGCCAGCAAAAGGTTTTGAAAATAAGATTCTGAAGCTTTTGTTGTTTAACTGCATGTCCCATGAATGTTGCCACAAAATAATGCTCTTTAGGGAGCTGAGAATTATTTTTGTTCTTGCGTTTCCTGTGATTTCTTCATTCTACCTTCCTCACTCAACAGCATTTGCTTAGAAAGATGTATAGGAAAACTCAAAATACCATGTGTTAAAAGTTGATGTGACTTGAAAAATATTTTTTGTGAACTTGTAAGTTATTTCTCCCTATTCTGGTGAAGTGCAAATTGACTTTCAGCTGAAGACTTTAATGGCCAAGACTCATTTATATTGACTGCTGCAAGAACATTTTTGTTAATTGAATGCAGTCTAAGAGCATTACATGGCATGTTTTTGCAGACATTGATGAATGTGGAACTGGAAGGCATAGCTGTGCCAATGACACTATTTGCTTTAACTTGGATGGTGGGTATGACTGTCGATGTCCCCATGGCAAGAACTGCACAGGAGACTGTATCCATGAAGACAAAATCAAGCACAACGGTCAGATTTGGGTGCTGGAGAATGACAGATGCTCTGTCTGCTCGTGCCAGGTCAGTATAAATAGAAGCAGCTGCTTCTGCAAGATGGTGGTATGGATGAAAGGAAGAGTGAGCGATTCCAGTGAAATTCCTGTTTTAGTTGCCTTCTCAGGTGGGATGCTACAGAAAAATGGAATTATTTATTATATAGGGTTTTGAGGAGAGCTTCTCTCTTCAACCTGCACAAGAAGAACTTCCATGGGAGGTTTATTACATGATACTGCAAGAAGGATGATAGTACTCTTTTTGTTAGCAGAGATGCCACCTGTGTTTTCTGTGTGGGAGTAATGCCATTTTCATGCAAAGAAACTGTCTGTCTAGACACATATTGGTGGCCTGACGCTGATATCTTTAGCAGATGGCTATAAATAGATGTTCTGTATCTTCAGAGTAATTCAGCTTAACTTTCTCAAATGTTTGCTGCGGGAAACTTGATTTTAAGCTAAATGCTGATGAAGTATGAAGGCCCAATGCACAGCTGAGAAAGTCCTGAGCAGATCAGCAGCTCGAGTTTCATGGGCGTGAATTTAATTTCATACTACCTATCATCGTCTTTAAGTGAATAATTACAGAAGTTTAAAACAAGACTTGACTAGTCTCATATGGATATGTGAATGACATAAATGTAGTGCAATCCATTAAAATTTGACCCTCGGGAAAGACACCCTTGAGTTTCATCACCTTAGAGGAGAGCTGTCGGAAGGTCGGTTGTATGAAGGATGTATCTAAGACAACTGCGGAACTTTACGGTAGTTACTGAGTGTGCATTGTAGTTTCTGCCTCTGTTGGAACTGTATTTTGACAAAGGTATCTTATAATGGAAAAACTAATGAGCTGCTAGTGGCTTAGAATCATGCCAAAAGATCAAATTTTGCTACTAGTGCTGCTGGAATTGTGCAAATTTCTGCCATCTCTCTGTGTCTGTCTTCCAACAACAGAGTGGATATGTGATGTGCCGACGAATGGTCTGTGACTGTGAAAATCCCACCGTTGACCTGTTTTGCTGTCCTGAATGTGACCCGAGGCTCAGCAGTCAATGTTTACATCAGAGTGGGGAGCTTTCCTACAACAGCGGAGACTCCTGGATACAGAACTGTCAGCAGTGTCGCTGTTTGGTGAGGCTCCTGATTACAGCAGCAGATAGAGGAGGGAAAAAGGATATGAAATATTCTGTTCTGTCAATAGTTAATTTTCATGCATTAGTATCGCTTTAATTTCCTCTGGAGTATGTGTATAATTGAAATCTGGTTTTCATGGATATTTATCAATATTGTCAAGTTCCAGTAAAAAGTGCATTTTGACACAATAGACATAATAGAAATTTAATCATGAAGATTGTTTCAGCAAAAAGGGGAGGTCATTTGGATATGGCACCTACACAGCAACATTCATATGTTCACTCATTCAAAGACCAATGTAGCTGTATAAGGAAATTCTAAATGTTTATTTATTATTGTGGTTGGTAATTTCAAAGATGCTGATAGACTAAAATTTACTTATTCATTCAGACAATTCTGAGCAACAGAAAAAAATAATAGGACTTGATGCATTTTTCAAAATAGTGAAATGAGTTTTGAAAAAAAAAATCTTTTAAAGCTTGTGATCTTTTTCCTGGGCATGTATTCCAGAGTCCGAGTAAAAACTGTTCTGCATAATGATGCTCAAGAAGTTTCCATGGCAGAAAAAAAGTCCCAAGATAAAACAACTAGCTTTTGTCACAGGTTATCTCCAAATGTAAAGCCTAGTCCATCTAGCAGCTTTCCGTTGTCAGGGTATCATGAATAACAACCAGAAACCAATTTCTGTAGACATTGTTCTTTCGGTGTTACTGCTGCTAAAATCCAATGAAATAGATTCCCAGGTGATTCTTTATATGTCTTAAAAACAAAACAAAATAAAACCACCTACAGTTTGGGATTTTAATAGATTTTATTTTTTCAAGATACTATGTCTGTAACTAAAGACTGCTTTCTTTCAGCTCTCATGGTTTTTTTTTGGGGGGGTGACATCATATTGTCTACTCCTTCTACTGTCAATCAAAAAAAAAAAAGTCAAGATCAGTGACTGTGTTTAAGATTGCTTGTATTCTTACCATGGTCTTAGAGACTTGATTTAGTAGTAGACAGGTTGTGGTTGGACTCAATGATCTTAAAGGACTTTTCCAACCAAATTATTCTCATTCTATGATTCTATGTGATTAAAAAAGAGGAAAATTGACTCAGGTGAAAATTTTGTAAACGGGTAACTTCACAATACTTCCTGCAACAAGAGGAGTAAATTTGGAGCTATGGCACATCCCTGCGAATTTTTATCTGCTTTTGCACTGGAAATACTGAACCTATAATTCTCAAAGCCTTGGATACAGTTTTTGTGAATAAACTTCTTTCCTAGGGCCAAATACTGTTTTCTGCCCCCCTTAAATCCAGACTACTCAATCTGTGTTTCAAATGCACTAATATGCATTAATGACTTCTGTGAAGTCTTTTCTTTGACGAGTACATCTGAAACTTTGGACCTTGTCCAGCACTGAAGGGAAGCTGACCCCAAGTTCTAGTAACTGATGTGAATATTTGGACATCTTCAAATTTGTGTACAGGCAAATCGTAACTTCCCCTAAGAATATTCTGGCCCAGTGAAAGTCTCTCTTTTCACCTTTTCATGCTCTTGACTGCACTGAACCCATCATGCAGAAGGTGTGATTAAGTTTGGAAGTTCAGGTATTCTGATTGCAACACTTGAAATGGATGGTAAGTGGGTGGAGGTCCTCTCACTGAAAATGTGCTGCTATTCGCTGCTACATTGGGCTGCTAGTAGCTTGAAACCCATAGTTCAGTCAATGCATTTCTAACCATGGCAAAGATAAACTCTAACCCCCTGAATTTCACAGAATCACAGAATCATTAAGGTTGGAAAAGATGTCTAAGATCATCAACCTAACATCACCATTCCCACTAAATCATGTCCTGAACTTGAAAGCTTTATATGGCGAGCCAAAGTCCAGATAGAAGTAAGAACCAGATAAAACAGGAGATTTCGAAGCACTTTTGCAGTACAGCCCTCTTATGGCTTCTGTTACTTCCAGAAGTAGAGCTTCACAGGAACAGATCCATATTCTGTGTTGCATGACATTTATGGAGAATTTTCAGCTGCAACTTGATGCAGAGTGTGTTGAAGTGAAAACTAATACACTTTTTGAATAGCATGGAAAAGAAGGCATCCAACCTGCTGTGTCTCCCACAGGCAATGAATATCAGTGTTCTGTGCACTGACTTCTGAATAGGACCATATGGATAAAATTAGCCAGTTAAGAAACATAATGCAAAGTCAGAGGAATGGGTAATGAGACAAAGTAGGAGCTAATAATCTTCTCTTGTTCTTGTAATATTTATAAACAGCAAGGCGAAGTTGATTGCTGGCCCTTGCCATGCCCAGAGGTGGACTGTGAGTTCAGCATCCTCCCCGAGAATGAGTGCTGCCCACGCTGTGTCACTGACCCCTGCCAGGCAGACACCATTCGCAATGACATCACTAAAACCTGCCTGGATGAAACCAACATCGTTCGCTTCACTGGATCTTCTTGGATTAAGCACGGCACAGAGTGCACCCTCTGCCAGTGCAAGGTAAGGAGCATAAAATTTAAGCTGAGATGTCGCTTTCCCAGGTTGTTCTGTGGCATATAAATATTAATGCACTGAGTCCAGTTGGTGGGTAGCTGGTACCTATGCTTGCTTTAAAGCAAAACTTCATTCTTGCATGTGCTAGAAGGGTGGTTTAATGTGCTAGCAAGTCAGAAGCAGAACAACAACCTACGCTGCAAAGTGCTGTGGCTTTTGTACCATGATAGCTCAGTTCAAGTTTGTTCACAGTTCTTACTGTATAGGTCCATGCTATCTTAGGAACATGCAGTGGTGAATAGGTATGTGAGGCTAGACTTCACACGAAAAAATTGTTCTGTGTGGTACTATAGTGTTATCAGAATCAATTGAATAGCTTTATTGTTTTGAGAATAAAAGGACTAGTTACATGGTTACATAGCTTTCTTGCTTTAAAATTAATACTAAAATCAACATAATGTTTAGAGCATTCAATAGTTTTTGTAGTCAAAGGAATTCATTTTGTGAGGAGAAAAAATAATGGCTATGGGCTTACGTGAATTCTGGCATCTCTTTTTAAAGATGCAAAAGAAAAGGAGGTTAGAATAAGTTTTTACATTCAAAATAAGCCTATAAGGTAAATTATATTTTCCCCCATCCAATACTGAAGAATGGCAAAGAGTATTTCCACACTAGGCAAGAAAAGAAAGACAGCAGGATTCATCCATAGTTCCTTAATTATTACTGAAATTCACAGTTGATTTTGGTCTTTATTCTATGTCCTTCCCAGGCACAATACCTCCTAAACCCTAGTACATGATACAATTAACTGTTTTGAAAAGGTGCTCATAAAATATAATCTAACTTCAACACCTCCTCCTGGGAGAGATGAGGAGTAACAAACCATGTAGAAGTTGTCAAGCACCACCTTCTTCCTCCACTTTGCCTGATGTAATACTGTGCGCAGCAGCAGTCACTGCTGTTGTGGTATAGTTCTGTTACAAGGGAAGTGGTTATGTGCCAAGTAGGTGTAGGCATTTGTCTTGATGTCAGAATGGGTCGGTGGTAAGAAGAAAATGATATGATCTGACAGAGTGGCTAACGGTTAGAAAGTCAGTGCTGCCCAAAGGATGTTGAAACAGGCTTACCTGCAGAAACCTGTACTTTTGGGGTCTGTAGCTGGTGGCATACACCAACTCCAGTGCTAGAAGTTACTTTTTGCTTGTGCAAGTTGCTGAGGTTTGTGTGCCTCAGTTTCCCGATCTGTAAAACAAATAATTATGTGTGATTCTTCTCTAAAGCGCTTTTGAGGTTCGGTGATGGGAAGAAACATGTTCTTCTTCTTGTACTGCCAATCAGTGGCAATGCAGAAGTAATGTATCAGTTTGTCTGATGGCCACCTGTGTGCTGCTCCCATCTGCCCTTTTCTCTTAAGCAAAGACTGAACCTTAAGCCTCGACTGATTCGTATTCAGTGTAAACACATACATAGACTAATAAAATCCATTGCTGCATTGTGAACATATATAAGATTAAAACCAATACTCTGCCAAACCCTATACATTTCATATGGCTCAGGTGAGAATCTGCTTGACAGTGAAGATACACCACTTTATCCCTCAGCAAGCCAAATTTTACTAAATTCTGTTCACAGAGCAATTTTCCTTTTGAAATACACTATCTGTTCATATTGGCAGTTTTTTGATATTGTAGTTCTGCATGCAAGCAGGCCACTCCTTTCAGATCAGGTTAATGCTGTGCCCAATTTGTATAGTTCTCTGGCTCATTTGTCCCGTGTCACCCCACTCTTTTCTCGCAGTTCATCACATGGAAGGTCAAAACTCCGGTCTAAGCCTCTCTAAGCAAGCTGTAGCAAAATAGGTTTACACAAATCCTTTAAGAATTCAGAAACCCAGGTATCAACTAAAGCTGCCTTAGCCACAAAACCCTTTCAAATCACAAATAAAAAAGGTAGACAGTAGGATTGTTTAACCTCCTGTGAAAGGAGTGAAAGAAAATGTTTGCCTTAGTCAGACCGTGGTCTTCAATCAGTCCTGGCAGTTTAGTCAACTGAATGTATTTGGAGTAATTTAAATATAATGCACGCTTTTTATTTGCATTGTAAGAATTGGACTTAAGAAAAGATGTAGTAGAGATGCAGAAAACAATTTCTCCAATACTTTAATGATGTCCGTAGGCAATCTGTTCCCTTAATTGCAAATATTCTCAGAAGAATGTCTGGACTATCATGGAAAACTTTATGTGTTAATGTTTGGTGGTGTTACAGCCAGAATGTATTAACTTGAAGCATTCAGGGCTCAATAAAACCCAGAATCCCTTCTGCCTGATCTAAGTAAAACTCCCAAGTGCCCTGTCTTGCTCAACAGCTTTGCATACTTGGGCTGATGCCTGGTACCTTTATGTCGGGAGCATTTCTTCCAGTGATCCCAGCTTCTCTCAGTTTGGCTGTTGTAGCTCTGGTATGCAGACCACAGCAAACCAAGCATTTAGAGGAATCCTAACAGCCCACTCACTTGGGCAAGGCAAGGACATGACAACAGTATTGTGAACCTGATCAAAGTCTGTGCATGTCTTGTATTTTACAAATCTGTACATTAAAATCTGATGGGTCCTTGCAAATGACTGAGCTTGTTAGATTGGCTTGTTTTGTACAAAATGCTAATTGTTTCATTTCTTTCTTCTGTTTTTCCTTCCTTCAGAATGGCCACGTCTGTTGCTCAGTGGACCCACAGTGCCTTCAGGAACTGTGACACCAACAACCACCTCTCACAAGCAGTTTCTGGTTAAAGAATTTTCATTCACAAAAAAGACCTTCTGACCAAAAATTGTACAAAATTCTAACTAAAATTAGATTGGCTTTGTCCATCTAAAGTGCAGATATGTTACACACTGAATTACCTGGATCAGAGTGAAATTTATGGACTCAAGACAAGCTCAGATGTGTAAACCTTTGTATGAGGTTCGGCCCAAATCTTCTGGCTATTTGTCTGTCTGACATCATTATGCAGAATATTTAGGTTAGTGTAAAGTGACACATTGTAATACTGTACGTAATGATGTCAAGATCCAAAATCGACTAGGAACTCTTACAGGGTCTTCCAAAGCTTTGTGAGTCTAACATTTGACCAGATACAGAGATTTTTTTCCCTAATCATATTTGGATCTGCACAAATGTGTTTGATTGTTCACTGCAGAATTTCGCAGACGTTTGAGTAAAAGGATAAAGCCTTCAGGAATAAAGAATCTAGCAGTGAAGATATGATATGTACAGTATGTGCGCTGAAAAAAAAGGAAGTTATTGTAAAAATAAAAATGCAAACATTTAAAAAAAAAACTGTGATGCACAGGCATGGCTTCTTAATGTTTTCTGTCATCAACGAAAGTCATCAATATTTCCTTGTTTTACTGCACTTACTATTATTTCTTGATTGAATTTGTTCAGTATAAGCTCGTTATTGTGCAAATTTAAATAAATATTTCTCTTACCTTACGTGTCTGTTTGCGCTGTCTTTCCTTTTCAGGGATGTTGTTTTTGTGCTTGTTACTGTACCTTCTCTAGCAGCATGCTTGGGCAGATGGGCAGTACAGGTGGAGTATCACCAGTCTATCTCCTCTACGTATGGGAGCTTCTTCCCCACACAGGCTTATGCCTATCATGTCTTGTTTTTGTTATTCTTCTGAGCACATGTAAATAACTTCATACATCTGAGTCGTTACAGTGGATTGAACAGTAAATTCATGTGACCTAAAGATCAGATGCTACGTGCCAGCAAGGTGCTGTCACCCAGAGTGGGTCCAGCCCATTTGTGTGTGACTTGCATCTGTTCAGATTTACAGGGAATCTTCTCCAGACTCCTCCTTTCTCCAGCTGTCCTGGATTGGTTTGTCTTTCTATAAGCTCCACAGCTGTTTTAGTTGTTTGTGTAAAGTATCTTAATGCATGGGGATCGGTTCAATATGCAAAACCTATTTTCACTACTCTACTGTTAGGATGATAAATAAGAGTCTACCTGACAAAAGCTATGTTATTCTGGGAAGGAAATAAAGAATAAAGCAGGGCTTACAAATTATAGGCTGAAAAGGCTGAATTGTAGGAAATGCATCACAAACAGTGAAGGCAAAACACAAGAGGAAGAGCTGCCCAGGATGGCTGCATCTCTCAAATACTGCTTTAATAGTCATGCTCTTTTCAAAATGCCTTGCTTCTCTCCAGTATCTCTCATACCAGTTCAGTAGATTGTCATGCGACCTGTACAGGTGAAATTTCCATTAATATTACCCCTGTTTATTATGAAATTACAAGGGAAGTCCATGTATATATTTTTTACAAAACAGAATTATTTTCCCACCAACAGATGCTACTTCATGGTGTTGCATCTACAGCAGGAGATCAAAGGAATGCCATGCAACTGCATTTATCTGGTAGGTATTCCCCTGAATCTTAGTATCTGCTGGGTACTGGATGTTTGTGGAGCATGTAATACAAGAGATGCTAGGCGACTTTATGTAAATAATACAAACAAAACCAAGAAACTAAAAATGTGGAAAATATGCAACCCTTCCCCCCCCTGCCAACTGATAGTCTACATTGGACCCTTAAATATATGAAGATTTTCAGACCAAATAAATACACCTTTTTCCTCACCTAGTCCGTAAGTAACAGATACTCAGTGGTTATGCTGTATTGTCTAGTTCCTGGCAAGCTGCAATCAAAGTTTTTAAAGTAGAGTGTTAGCTCCTTGAAAAAGAAGCTGCTTTCTGTTTTCTTGCCTCCTGATAATTGTCAGGAGGTCAGGTTTTCCTCTCGGTCGCAGAGGCGCATCTCCAGTGGATCTCAGTGGCAGCTGCATACCTATTGCAGAGACACGGTTTAGCAGAAGGTGTTACTGTTTAGGAATTTTGTTCAAGAATAGGTATGAAACAGACATAGGAAATGCACAAAGACCAGACTTATTTTTTTTTAAAGAGCAAATGTTTTTCAAGAGCAGAATCCTCAGGCTCTGCCAGTCTGTAGAAAGCTCTGACGGAAAGCAATGGAGCTGGTAGAGAGAAGGACAGATATCCACAGAACAGTTGTAAGCATCCACATTTTTGGGTCCATGGGTAGATGAGTTATGGGTGAGGCCAGTGTCCCTGCCTTTCATCTTCCATTTTTTTTCTCAATCCTTTCTCAAAGGCAGAGCAATACTGGTGGTTAACCCCAGCTTTTAATAAACAGTAAAGTTGTGTATAGATGGAAAACAAATATCTCTTTCTTCTTGTTGCTTACCCTGATCTAAGTGTTGTAGGATCTGTCTGATATTGTAGCTTTGTGAAGCACAGTGTAATACACTATGAAACAGGCTAAAAAGCCAAGAACTGAAACATAACATAATAGCTGAACCTTGAATCACATCCTTGGAGAGACACTAAGTGTTACATGTATGTAAAAAGCAGACTTTGTACTGCTGAACAAAGCTGGAATTCTCTGCTAAATAAAAAATGAGAATGGGTTAAGTGAATGTTATCTAATTCATCAATGTTCAAGGTTACTAATCAGTTGGGAGTTCTTCTAAAGGTCAGCAAACTCCAATGAGACATCTTGGTGACCCTCATTATCATTCAATATCACCCCCTCTTACCTGTCTCCCTCCTGTTCAGTCAAGCTAGTAATTAGTAGCTCATGTTTTTAATTTTCCTTGAAAAGTATATTTAAATATTATTAAAAATTTATGTCTAATTTCCAGGCCTAAATTATCTGTCAGACAATATAGTTCATAAAAAAATATATTTCTGAATGATGCAGGTACGTTATGGGCTGTTATTGATGCACTGTTTGCAGTGTTTGCAGTACCAGAATTCAATAACTTCCATAAAGGAGTTGTCACCTCTCTGCAGAGTAATTGCCCTAAGTTAATAGACCTACAGATATAAAGGCAGAGATGCCTTCAGTTACAATGCTGAGTTCAATGCAATGCTGAAACAAGTTGACAAAAAAGCAGCAGCTTTGTAAACTGTTAAAAAGGGAGCTAACTGCACAGCTGAAAATTTCTGGTAATCACAAATTCACCATGGGCAAGACCAGGGGCTGGCCTCCTTAGTCCTCCTTAGTCTTCCTTCTGGCTGAGGACATCTTCGCCTTCTGTAAGGGCTCCACCTTCAGCAGTGCAGCTGGTGAAATACGGTCATTATGGCATAGCTGAAATAGTAGCAATTACTTTTTTTTCTAGAATGCCTAAATGTGGGTATTTATGCACAGGGTGCTGTAAAACTGCCCTGCTTCAGTCACACAGGCTCTTGCCATGAACAGCATTGGGCTACAGCAGATTCTCCCTGGGGCACCTCAGAGAAACACCTTGTAAGCCACAGAGCCCAGATCTCAGTTCCTGCTGTGATACAGCAGCAATGGCTGCTGGCTTCAAATGCAGAATGTGTATGGGGTGGCATCTCCTCCTCCACGGACGTGCTGAGCCTCACCTGCAATGGGTCACCTGTGTCCCTGCTGTGGGGAAGTGCTCAGCTGGGGGGGGTGGGTTGCATGGGCCAGACAGTACTTGTGAGTCTCATAAATTACATCCTGGGAGTTACATTTAAAGTCTCAGATGGTAAAATGAAATTACTTCGAAGTGGAGGAGACTCCCACTGCAGCATGGTGATGGTGCTCAGCTCATGTGGCCTCTCAACAGGCAGGGACTCCTTTGATTTTTCAGATAAAAATAGCAGTAGCTTTAAAGTAGGGCTCAGCTAGTTATTTTTTAATAATGAAATTTACTTACAGGCAAATGCAGTTTAACTTGTCCCCAAGCCAGTTAATAATTTAAGTTAAGAATCATCAGATAGCTTTTGCCAACTATATGAAGAAAACATTTCAGAGTAAGATGCGTAAGAAAACTGGAGCAACTCTGGCATCTCCTGAGTGGGTGACCTGTGGAGAAGTGTCACTTCTTCAGCGTACCATTAAAACCCACTTCAGTTGTGTCTTTTGCTCAGGTCACAGCTGTAGTCACCAAGTCACAGTCCTGACCATCTCTTCTGTTGCTATTTGAATTTCTAATTAAAAATTTAAAACTTCTTGTTAATTTAACATGGTGGCCAAATCTCTGTCCTGGGAGAAAAGATGAAGTGTACCACTGGATTTTTTAATAAAGCAGCGTTTTAGAGAGGGCCCGAAAAGAAGGTGTTACAAACCTTGTTTCTCAGATCTCTGTTGCTCTTCATCAGCCATGTGAATGGCCACCAGCACAGTGCATTTCACTTTTTTGTCAGTATGGTGCTAATGCAAAATGATAAAAATAAAAAATCAATAGCTTAAATCAATTACTCATCCAGGTCTGCACTTATTATTTTCTTACTGGCAGAGTTTACACAGTCTGTAAAATGCCAAATAGGCATTGTTTACTGTAACAGGAGATTTGCAACTCTATATTCTACTAATCTGTTCATAGATTATTCTGTAACATGAAACTTTAACTACTACAAACCATAATAATCTATTTCATCCATAAGAAACCCAAATCAAATTACTATGCTTCATCTTAAAATCTGTTTTTATTAGTAATCTCATTTTACCATTTTAGACTTCAAACGTAACTCCCAGGATGTCATTTATGTATCAGCAGTATTGCTTGAAGCTGTGAAATAAAATTGTTTAAGGGCTTGCTTTAGGACTGAGTCATATTTGAAAACCAAGATAACTAGAACTGCATCACCATAGCTAGAGCATCCATCTTGGTAGAGCAGCAGAAACAAAGCACTGACTGAAGTGCAATTTTGTAGTGAGAAGGGAGGGCAATTTCATCAAGGGGAAGGGGGGGAAACAGAAAAACAACCAGCAATCGCACTGATGCTAACTCAGTCCTCTACCTGCTTCTAATGACCTCTGATCTGAACAAGAAGAGCAATGCAGCCTTTTGCATGGCTACCTTATTTCTTATGAGAAGCTCTTCAGCTGATGCTGCTTTTGAATATTTCATTGAATATTTTCTTAGTGCCTTTGGTAAAAATGTAAAAAATGCTTAGGACCACCATAACACAAACAGTTTTTTCCCAAGGTTGGCACTGGCCCACTTCAAAGCCAGGCACTGCCCTACAGCCAGAGCACCCTGTGCTCAGGCAAGCTGTGGACACCAGTTCGGGGAGTGGGGAGGGGGTGAGGGAGCAGCACCCTAGCTAAAGGTGCAGTTCTGCTCTTTTATTAGCTGTGTGTAGTTGGGTCCTCCACAAGCTGTGACCAGAATGACACAGCTCAAATGGGGTCCTTTTGCAACTTTGCAAGGTGTAATAAACTCCCTTTTGGCTGCCATATGTGGATTTTGCAAATCAAGTGGTTTGTCAGTGCAGAG